ATTATTCGAATATGATTTTACATATTAGATTGAGTGTTTTTTTTTTCAATAATAAAAATTTAAATTTGTTGAAGAGATTCACTTCTAGCCCTCTAATTTAGTTGGACTTATTGATTCACGAAAAACAATAAAGTGTGTCCATCTTTATGGTCTAATCTACTAGACCATTTGAGCAAAACTCCTTTTTAGGTTGATTGTCGGCTTAAAGAGTGACAAAATTTACCATGTTGATTATTTTCATAGGTTTTCTACTGCCTATTTTTACCTCGGTTAAAAGCACTATTAAGTCCTAGCTACTGTATTTTATGCTTAATGCTTTCATATGATTCCAAGTTCTTACTAACTCCAATATCAAGAAAATAGAGCTTAATTATGATTCTAAGTTAACTGGTATATTCTAACATTCTTTTAGAACGAACAGTGTACTATTTGAGAATAATAGATTGTCTCATTTGATGATTTTAGTGAGAAAAAAAAAAAAAAAAGAGAGTACATGTTAGCACCAGATCTATTGCTTCCCATGCATCTCACAAACTTTTCACAGGTTTTAAACTTCTTTTTGTCTTGGTTAGCTTCATCCTAATTAGTAGCTAGACAAGGTAGGGCTACTTTATTCTCCAAAAAAAAAAAAAGGCACAAAAAAAAAACTAATTAATCACAATAAAGGGATTATTCTCCTCGTAACCTCTACAAAATCCAATGCCACGAACAGCTAAGCAAAAGAATCAGTTAATGGAATCAATTAACTCCCAGAAAAGAATATTAACCAAAACCCGAATCTATTTCTAGAATTTCATGTTTATTTATATTATCATGAACACTTATTTGTATTATTGATATTTTTTTTTGGAATAACCTAACTACCTTTTATAAATAAATAAAAAAAAATATAGGAGAACTAGTCAACAGAAATGCGTATTTAGGCCACCAGGACACAAGTCCATCTCCAACAAAGATGTCGATGCATCAGAATTCTCCAGGCCTACACTTGTTCTTCAAAAGAAAAGGAGAAAATATTAAAAATAATGAAGAGAAATGGTGTTGCGTCTTGTTCTATGGCAATGTTCAATGTATATTTTTGGTTTCTAATTAAACTTACATTTTTTTGAGAAAAAGTATAGTCAAATCAAATCAATAGGAAGTTAACATATTTGGTTTGAGAAGCTCAACCAATTCCACTTTCCCATTGCTACTCCAAATGAAGTACACATGTACTGTCATGAATCCATAGTCAAAATGCTGAATACGTAAGTGCTCACAGTATTGGAACCAAGTACTTTTGCCATTTTTGGAATGTAAATGAAGTTTACGAACAACAAATTCTAACGTTCATCTTTAACAATCATATTGGTCATTGTTTTCTTTCCTGTAAGCAATCTCATTCGGTGGTCTTTTTCCGAAAGTAAAATAAAATTTATTAGGATTGTTGAGAAGTGTCCATCTGCATTTGACACAAAGCAGACGAATTAGATCACGTTACGGTATTAATCGATCTACGACTCCAAAAGATACCTAAACAAGTTAAACGTGCAAGGTAAAATCCGTACATCATCCAAAACCCATTAGCAAATCTTTGGACAAATATATTTGTTAGTGTATGTATTGTATATGCTTAGGGATATTATTATAAATCTGTATACTGTATTGTCCTATTTATGTTCGGTATCAATACAACACACCAAAAGGGGTTTTACACTTTTATGGTATCATTCGTCTTCTTGGGCTATTTTTTTTTTCTAGGGTTTTCTAGCCACCGGTCTTTGTTTCGTTTTGGTTTCTCGGCCGACCACTTCTCCCGCTACTGTCACCTTCTTCATCTAATTCTGGTCGACTTCTCTAGATCTATTGTTGCCCCGTTGTTGCTTATTTATCATCAATCTCTCAGAAAATCAGCCCCTGACCTGTTGCTACTCAATGAGCCTGTGTATATGAAACAGTCTCCATAGTTTGTCCATCACTAGCATATCGACTATGTTTGCAAGTTCAATCGGGCTCTCTGTGGCCTTAAGTAAGCCCCTCGCTCTTGGTTTCAGAGGTTTGTTTCCTTCATTACTTCTAGTGTTTTTTGCTATTCCAACTCTGATTCCTCTATGTTTGTTTATCATCATGGTGGAGATATGGATGTTCTTCTTCTTTATGTTGACGATATTTTCTCACCACTTCTTCTTCATCGCTCCTATCTTCCACCATTGCTCAGTTAAGAAAGGAGTTTGCTATGACAGATTTGGGAGACTTACATTATTTTCTTGGCATTTCTGTTTCACGTACCTTTGACGGACTCTTTCTCTCTAAGTTGAAGTACATTGTCAGCCTTCTTAATGGGTGTCATTTTTCTTCTGCTAATTCTGTTATTACTCCTGTTGATGCTAAAACTAAATTGTCTTAGTTTGATAAGGAGTTGTTTTGCTAATCCATATGAATATTTTATTATTGTGGGCGCACTTCAGTATGTTACCTTGACTCGCCCTGATATTGCCTATATAGTGCAACAAGTTTTTTTGTTTATGCATCAGCCTCTAGAGTCCCACTATACAGCAGTTAAGCGCATCCTACGCTATCTGAAGGGTACTCTTTCTCATGATCTTTATCTTCAATCTGTCCCTCTTGAGAAGTTAAAGGTATATTCTGATACTGATTGGGCTAGTTGTCCTGATACTCGTCGTTCTACTTCTGGTTACTGTATTTTTCTTCAGTTCCAATCTTATCTCTTGGTCCTCTATACGGTAATCTATTGTTTCTCGTTCTAGTGCTGAAACTGAATACCGTACGGTTGCTAATGTTGTTTGTGAAGTTTGTTAGATTTATTCCTTGCTTTCGAAGTTATGTATTCGGTTGCCCACTGCCACTATTGTGTTTTGTGATAATGTCAGTGATATTTTCCTATCCACTAATCCTGTTCAGAATCATCGTACAAAGCATGTTGAGATTGATATTCATTTCGTTCATAACAAGGTTGCTCAAGGTTCTATTTGTGTTCTTCATGTTCCTTCCTCGTATCAATTTGTTGAAATTATGACTAACTTTTTACGGACTTTAGAGACAATGTGAACATTCGTGTTTTTCCCATTCAAATGGGGGAGATGTTAGTGTATACTCTCTCCGGTCCTTAATACAAGACATCTTGATTTGTCCGATGTTTCACCTAGTACGTTTTTTTAGTTAAAAAAAAAACCTTAAACTATTTCATAACAATCAAGAGAACACAAAGAATGTGAAAACATATTTTTAAGATTTTTTTGCCAATTAAAAATATATTTTAGGTAAAACTTAGAATAAATCAAAATGTAATAAGATATTATTGTAAATTTGTACCCTATATTGTCCTACACATATTCATTATCAATACAACACACCAAAAGTGGTTTTACACTTTCAATATTTATATTGTAATGCAAGAATGGCATTCACCGAGTGCTCTTGAATTGAGAAATTAACAAGATCTGGTAACAAAACAAATAAAAATACAAAACTAGATCCATGTTTTAACTTTTACACATCAACTACATGTCATTAACTAGTGGGACGATAGAGTTTAAATTAAAGCTAGTTTGTTTCAGGTAAGAAACAATTGGTGTAGATAAGAGATGGGGAAATGAAAAAATTGATCCTTAGCTAGATAAGCGTAACAGCTACTTAAATTGTTGGCCCTATTGTCGAAGTTGTATGTCAAATTTTTCCCCCAAAATTATTCAAACGAAAGTGGGCAAATCTTTTATAACAGGGACCAAGAAACCAAAAACGAGCTGTAGGATGAGGGCAGTTAGTTACGTTAACTTCAATCTAAATCCTCAAAAAAAAGTGAAAAAGAACATTAACACTTTTAATGGCCGGAAAATCTAAAGAAATGTAAGAAGAGACAGTAATTTCGTGTCATTTTGCGGTCAAACAAACATGATACTGTCAGAGGAGCTGAATTCCCGGTGCGTTATTCTAAAAACATTCACCTAATAATATTAGTAACTGCTGCTAAAACATCTTTAATGGCATGCAAAAGAAAAAAACAAACATAAAAAGTCCAACCAAAGCTCACCAAATCAGCAACGTATTTGTAATGCCCCCATAAAAACTAACCCAAAAAATTTAGTATACTAACTCCTAAGCCACTGTCGCCAATAGTGGGTAAAATTCCTTACCTCTTGTCTTCTTATTAAAATGATCTCTCATTAAAGAGTAATGATAGTTTCGTGAAAAATGTAAGATAAGAAAATGTAATTATCAGAATCTGGATATGAAACTATACACCTAAAAATAAACTTATTTTAAATTTGCCCCTTATAAACATGACCCAATAAACCATATCTCAAGACACAAATACATTTCACTGTCACTTTAGAATTCACTAATTGTTTTTTTTTTTTAATCATAACTCACGCTTCTTCATTCCTAGTTGTATAAGTATAGTAAAATCTCTTTAAATTAATAAAATTATTAATTTGTCAATTAATTAATAACTTATTAATGTAAAAAAATTTCAATCCTATTAGAAAATAAATTGTGAATCTTTGCCAAGAAAAACAATGGCTTATTAGTATTTTTTATGGGTTTCTAATTTTTTGTTGCAGTGTGGCAAAGAGACACTAAAACAAATATAATATCTCCATAAATATAAACTTTAATTAAAAAAAAATAAAGATCAGTAGTTTCTTAGTTTATTACAAATTCTTAATTTTCGTGATTTTTTTTTAAAAAATATTATCTCATAAATTAATCAAATTTTTTTATTAATCCTGCATCAGGACCTTAAAAAATATTATCTAATGTGAGTTATTATTTTCTTAAAGAATTTATTTAGAGAGGTGCTACTGTAGTTCAGTAAATTCTAATGATAATAATAAAAACTAATCTGATGTTATATAATATCTTTTTTCATTTCAATAACATAGTTCACATTGTAAATTGTAAATTGTTTAAATGTGAAATATTTTTGTGAAAGGGAAGGTAGTAAATATATTGATGGAACAAAAAGCACGAAGCAGTGGGATGACAGGATCCGGGTGCAACTCGGGCTGACCCAAATTTGTTAACTTTGTCCCAACCGCCCCCTCCAATCATTTTTTTATGGTTGGATTTAACCACACCATTGTCTCATCAATAATTAAAGCCTCTCTGATCATGTGATTCTCTCTACAACTTAAAAGCTGAAAGAAAACCCCCCTCAAATGAACAGTTTGTAGCAGAAATCTAGGTGTGAGAAAGAGAGGAGGTGTGGAACACAAATGCAGATTACATTTGACTCTTTCTCTCTGCATTGTCTCCTTAAACCTCACCACTGTTTGCAATAAATACTAATGACTGTGTGAGTGTGTGTTTTTTCTTGTGTGTTGACAGTGTGAGAGACTCTGCCCCCAATTTGTTCTGTCTTGCAGAATTCGTACTTTGATTGAACAGGGCTCTTCTTATTCTTTTCCTCTTTTTTCCCCCCTCTGTTGACACAGCAGAGAATTCAGAAGATGAAGTATATCCGTACTGCCAGCTTAAAGCGGCTGTTTTCTCTCAAGCGTCTTGATGAAAGCCCAAAAGGGTGTGATTTCACTGAAGAAAAAAACATTCCTGACAAAAATCCCAAAACAGATTCTGTTAATCCTGTTCCTGAACTTCCTTCCATAGCACCTCCTCAGAGGCCTGCCTGGAAATGCTTCTCTTATGCAGAAATCTTCGATGCCACCAATGGTTTTTCCAAAGGTATTATTGTCTTCTTTTTTGAAGTTAAAAAAAAATGTTTATGTTATTCTGAGCCAACCCATTTTCTTATTTTCTTTTGGGTTCTGAATTTCTTTGGAACAGAAAACATGGTTGGAAAAGGAGGCTTTGCCGAGGTTTACAAAGGAGTGCTAGAAGATGGCCAGGCAATTGCTGTCAAAATGCTGACAAAAGTATCTAATGATGAGAGGAAAGAAAAAGAGTTCTTGACAGAGATTGGGACATTGGGTCATGTCTGCCATCCAAATGTTACCGCATTGCTTGGTTGCTGTATTGATAATGGACTTTACCTCGTTTTCCAATTCTCCTCCAAAGGCTCTGTTGCCTCTGTTCTTCATGGTATGTCTCTGTTGTTTTCAAAAAAGTTTTAGATTTCCTCAATTAGGCCTAAAACAGATGACCATTTTCTGTTATGTATAGTTATAGTAACAGAAAAAATGACCATTTCTTTTGGAAATCAGATGCCAAATCTCCTGTTATGGACTGGAAAACTAGGCATCATATTGCTGTTGGAGCTGCTAGAGGCCTACATTATTTGCATAAAACTTGTCCAAGACGAATAATTCACAGAGACATCAAATCTTCAAACATCTTGTTAACTGAAGATTTTGAACCACAGGTATGTCAATTATAGATTATGAACATCCCACATACATATTAGTATAAATTCCTGAATTGAATTCTGAAATGATGTTTGTTTAATGACCCCAGATATCTGATTTTGGGCTTGCAAAATGGCTTCCATCCCAATTGACTCATCATTCAATTGTTCCAATTGAAGGCACATTTGGGTATGCAATTATATGTACATCTTCTTTACTTTCTCTGGAAAAAAAAATACTACTCTCTCCGTCCCAAAATGGTTTAAACGAAACAGATAACAAAATATTGATATCTTGTTGCCTGGGATCCACAGCCACTTGGCACCAGAGTACTTTATGCATGGAGTTGTGGATGAGAAGACAGATGTATTTGCATTTGGGGTGTTTCTGTTGGAGCTGATATCTGGCAAGAAACCAGTTGATGGAACACATCAAAGCTTACACAGCTGGGTAATATAATTGATTCCAGAAATTCTTTTATTTTAAAGTCCTGATATCTTCATTAAATGGTGATATTAATTACTAGTATTTATTGTGTGACATTTTGGATGAATTAGGCAAAACCAATATTGAGCCGTGGGGAGATTGAAAAAGTTGTTGATCCAAGACTCGAAGGAGAATATGATGCTAAACAGCTTCATAGACTTGCATTTGCAGCTTCTTTGTGCATTAGAGGTTCTGCAATTTGGCGTCCAACTATGAGTGAGGTAGTTTTTTATTTACTTCTTTCTCTATTCAATTTCTTGATTTTACTGCTAACTTCCTCCGTTCTAAAATAAAAATAATCTTTATCGAACTGTTATATCATTTTGGGACAAAAATACAGCACCCTTTATATGTCTTTGACATCTTTAGCAAGAAATTGACAGAAAAAGGGCATTTTATAGACATTATTAGGAAAAAGGAGTAAAGCATAAGCATATGGTGAAATTTAATTATCAAAATTCAAAATATAAATACATAAAACACTATGGTTGTCTCACTAAGTTGCGTGAATATTGCTTACCGACGGGGCAATAAAAGTGAATTCATGAATCTGACTGAGCCATCCTAGTTGACCCACAAATCTACACAATTCTGACTAATTTACAGAAGACAAGATTTGTGAGTATCAAACACTTTTAATTTGTCTGCTTAACTTTTGTTTGATCTCAAGCGATTAAAAAGAATTTGTACTGTTATTAAGTATGCATAAGAAGACTTTTTATGTGCAATTTGATGAAGTAAAACATAAACTAAGATTTAAAATCCTTAATTAATATAGTTGTTGGTGAATGTCCTGATTAGAAGCATGAGTTGATCCCCATCATCACAATGCAAATTCTTGAATGTTTATTTATTTTTTTTGCTTGATGTAGTATCTTACCAAACCAAAGAAAAGTCCTTTTTATGCTGTAATTGACATAAAAATGTGGCCCTTTCCATGTGAACATTACTTAGAGCCAAAAACAACGTCCCAAATTATTTACTATATTGGTATATTAGGTAGGACCAATGTCTTAATCAAATCACCTTTTCTTTTTCCCTCTTAACCCATAATAATCCAATCCACTGTGTCACGAACTCCATTCATATACTCCACCTGGAATTTCAGAACTCAATGTGAACTATTTTTAAAAAAATCAAACCGCATTTGGAATGGACGGGGCTAAAGTTTTTCGTTCTCTCAAATGATAAATACTACATGTGTTGTTGTGCAACTATTTCACCTAATTGTAAAAATGGCATTTATAACTTAAGACTGATGAAAAGTACTGTGTGTTCACAGGTATTGGAGGTGATGTTGGAAGAGGAAATAAATGAGGAAACATGGAAGATGCCGGAACAGGAAGAGGAGCAGGAGGAATTTTGGGGATTTGAGGATCTTGAAAGTGAATGTGATAGTTCTTTCTCCACCTCTCCACATGACTCGATTTCAACTGGTGGAAGTTCTTAAGTAATTTAATATAAGATAAGAAGAAGAAGAAGAAAGAAGAGTGTAGTACCTAAACAACTGTAGGAGTAGTTGACTTGTAAATATGAGAGACTTTGGAATAGGTCTAAAATTAAAAGACACAACTATTGTCTATTGTAGTAGTCGTATCATGTTTATCTGCTTCTGCAGGAAATGCATGAAAATTTTGTGACATCGATCAGTGTTCTCTTTGCAATTAACAATTTCAAAAGGGTAAAGATGGAGGGTGGGAGGGTTGGAAAAAATAACAACTAATTATAAGATCTAATTTTCTCAGTAATAGGAGATATAAGTAATTTCATTTGGAAGATAAAATAATTCGTGTCGATAATGAAACAATCCGGGTATAAAACGGACTGCACTGCTGCAGTATTTTCTTTTTATTTTTTATTTTTTAAGTGAGACATGATTGATACATTAAAAAAAAAATAAAAATGTTACGATGATGATTTCAGACCAAATAGGGTACCAAAGGTTTGTTTAATTAGTCGGTTGCTAAATGCCAAATGAAATCCAAACTTCAAAGGATACATATACGCATACATGCCAACTCATTTAGTAGTGCGTATTATTATAATACATTGTTGTCAGGCTCGGACCGGAAGTCGATTCGGGATGGCAAAGGGTCAATAGAATCGGGGATCGATCCGAGGCGATTTGGGAGTCCACTCGAATGACGTCATAATGGCGTAATAAATATTAAATTAATAAATATATATTAATTAGAATTTTATCAATTTTATGTATATATTTATCAATTGTGAGGGTTAAATTGATATTTCATAATTCTTAACTAGGTATTGATGTGACAAAATTGAACTCAAGTCATTGACTAGAATGATACCGTTATTACTAAATAAATAATATTTATTTATCTAATATATTTAAATCTAAAAAAATTACTCTTTATATCTCTTTTCTATTATAATAGTTGAATTGATATTGTAGCATTTAATTATTATTTAACGGTGTGAAATAGTATATTAATAAAGTAATTAAGGAAAAAATTATTATTTTAAAAATTATTAAATTTAAAGGATAATTAAGACAAACATAAAAGAAACCTTTGAGATTAATTTCTTAGACATGTTAGGGTTATAATCTATATTTTCCTTAATGATCAAAGTTAGTTTGTGAAGCAAACAAAAAAAAAAAGCAAAGAAAATTGAAAATAATGCATTTAGGAATTGGAAATTAAATATGGGGACTAAAATATCAAAATAATACTTTAAATAAATTAACTACTGAAAGTTTTGGGGTCAATTAGTATAAAATAGGAAAAGTTGGCATTGGAAATAAGATGTTAGAACTTGATCCTGGGAAATAGTGAAAAAGTTTGGTCAAAAGTCAAAAAAATTTGAAACCCTGGTCCAATCCGGTTTGATCCGATTTCTGATTCGCCTGGAGTTCTGACCGAGTTTGACTGAATGTTTTTCTGGCGGTTTTATGCCTTGTTCGGCTCGGCTTAGAGTCCGGTTCCCAATTTAACCAGTTCAACAGACCGGTCCGAGCCGAGCATGACAACACTGATATAATACATATGTAGGCATCAAACATGCCAATTGATTCCAGCAAGGAAGAAGGGCGACTTGTCCTGAGGATGTTGGGGGGAAAGAGTGCATTTGTTTTGTTAAATTTGTTACAAAAATGGTCGTTTTTGGGACCAAGAAAAAGAAAAAGAAAAAAAGACACCATATCTATTTTCCTCTCTAGTGTAATAATAAACATAATATTACTCTGTCTCAAAAAATAATATACATTGCATTTTAAAGTTTGTTGTGAAAATAATACAAATCTCAAATTTTACTGTAAATTTCTTTTTTTAAGGAAGAAATGTTTATTTTGTGATGAATTGAATATAGTATTTTTTTTGCACTTACTTATAAGTTACTCAATGAAAGCTCACTTCCCCGGAATTGAAGGAATAATGTAATTGGCATGATGTGGGTGATAGGTATAGGCAGTAACGTGATATTGAGAGATAGGGATGTGCATCTAATTCTTAAACACCCACATTCCCATCACAACCCGTGAACTCTTTTCTTCTATTACATCTGCAATAATTAAACCTCTGAAAAATTGAAAATGTACGTAACTCTTCTCCAGTTACAAGATTTGATTCTTGAAATTGAAAATCCATATAATTTTTTTTTTTTTGTAAATATATCAGTGATTAGTTGTGTATCATGTAAAGTGATTCAATTGATGTTTTTGTTGCAACCAAGTTTTAATACGATATGGTAGTTCATCTAATCTGTTGTAATTAACCTTCGAGAGACTTTGTTAAATTCTGTTAAGTAATCCCTCCGGTCCTTATTATAAGGTATTTTGATTTCATCATTAGTTTCACTTAGGATGCGTTTTTAACTGAAATTAAAATCTTAAAAACATTTCATAATAATTAGGAGAACACAACGAATGCTAAAATACGTTTTTAAGAATTTTTTTTTCCAATTAAAAAGACATGCTAGGTAAAATTTAGGACGGAATCAAAATACCTTATAATAAGGATAGGAGGGAGTACGTAGTTGCTAACATTTCTTGTCTGTCTACTGATTTACTAATTGATCTACAACACCGCCGTGATAAAATTGGCATAAATATACAAACTTCTTTTTTTTTTCCTAAAAAAAAAAGAAAGATTGAAAGAGGAATTCAATACTAGTTATCAAAATATAGGCTGCGAAGGACCAGTGTACTTTAAGGGTTGCGACTATCACAACTTCATAAATAAAGCTGGTTCTTGCCATTAAATCTCATTCAATTCCACAACTTTCATGCCCTACAAACTTCTCTACCCATTGCTCAATTACCACATAACTATTTTCAATCTCAGACCAAGCCATAATGCTCCTTCTCGTCTCTTTTAGTTAATATGATCCTTTCATGAGGACTTAGACTTAACTCAAGCACGTTTTTCTTGAAATGAGATTTTTGGTTCTGATGTTGTGCAGTATCAATCATATCATATTTGAGAAAATTATGTCTAACATTTATTAATGAATACTGAAAAAATATTTTATAGGTAACTCAAGAAGAGGTATCTGGCGGGCATTTCAATGTTAAAGTTTCGCGAGTTAGTAAAATTACGCTTGTTTAATTTTTTTTTTTTAACAAAATGAAGCAATAAGTCAAATTAATTTGCTCATCATCATAATCAACAAACTAAAACATAAATGAATAACACAATTATACGTACATTCTTAGACTTTTTAAGTTCCAATTGCATCATGAATTTAAGACAGAGCAATCGAGCATCACAAATTCACAATGACGTTCAAAAATTAGAACATTAATGCGATTCATTAAAAGAACGAGTCATGACTATTTCACATATTAAATTAGAGTAGAATTCCCCTTAGATCTTGTCAATTCTTTCGTTTGTCAAAACAATGACAAAATCCATATTAAAAGAAGAAAAAAAAAAACAATTGCAAAAAAAGCATAGACACGAAAAGTGTCCTTTGAATTTGTACGATGAATTAATTTTGATATTTTAAAAATTACTACTAATTAAAAAATATATATTAATTTAGTTCAATTTTGCTGAGCTTATATCTATCTATATCAGCATCCGAAGTTCGTGTGGGGAAACCACAGCTGGCAGCTTAGCAAAGGTGACAGGAGCCTCTATCTATTTTCTTCTTTTTTGTTTAAAAAAATAGTCGTAGATAATAAGTCAAATTCAACAACTATAAGGACTGAAACCTCAAACTTAAAAGTAACCTAACGCATCACACTTAATGCTTGCTTGAACTTTAAAGTACAAATTTCAAGTGTTTTCGTAAGGCCCCCTTGACATTTTCTTATAAGATTTGTAATTAACCAGAAAAAAGAAAAAAAAGTTACACGAAAAGTGATACTGCAAATTAAAACTTTTTCTCGATGATCGAAGATCAAGTCCCTCTATCAGAAATCATTAAAGTTTATATCATTCTTGGGAATTATAATCATATAAGGCCGGTCGAGAGGGCAGTTGATAAAACAGGTAGGACTAGCTAGCCGCCTTTATGTGACCAGTGGATTTGGCATATTGTTTTAAGTTGATCAATAATTGTTTATAGTGCACCAGATGCCTCTAATTTGAGGCGCCACAAAAAAAGAAAGAACATTTCATTTCATGAGTTAGTTGAACTCCAAAAAGCCTCAAAATGCCAACAAGTAGAATGTGGGAGTTGAATCCAATTATTAATTTAGTGGGGGAAAAAAAAACAAAGGGAAACTGATTAAGGTTCGGTAGATGTTTGTTTGATTCTGAATTTAAGATTAAGAAGAGAAGATAATGTGATGATCATAACTATCAAACGTGGAGTGATATCAACTAGGAACACACACACATTAAGGTTGATCAAGGGTTTAATTAATTAATTAAATTAGATTAATCATGAGTTAATTATATAGGGCATGACTATGATTTAGGGTCAACTAACTACTTCAGCACGCAAGAAGAAGACAATACAGGCGGGTTTTGGTCAGCAAATTCGTCTCGAATTCCCAGAGTAATAATCACATCTTCAAGATAGATAATCAGAGTTGTTAAGAAAACTATACTAGTTAATCTACAATTTGCATTAATTCAAAGTTTTAATGTTTTGTCACTTCTTGTCTTTTGGTTTTCTTCTTTTTCTCCAAGCAGCTCTGAGAAAAACTGACCAAAATACAGCTACTTATTTTGGTGTAAAATCAGAGGAGGGGACATAAAATCTTACTTTTTTTTTGACAACCCAAAAAAAAAGAAAAGAACAAAAAAAGAGGGTCTGGCATTCACGTTACAATTTGAATATATATATATGTATGATTCGAAGAAATTTGGAAACTATTTTTAGCTTTCAATAGTAAGGATAAGAGTTTTGAACAATTTCAATATTATATAAATTATTATAGAAGGTGGAACGATTTTTCCCTATATAAGTATCATTACGAGGTTCAAAAATAGAGTTGCTTGAAAAATTTGCTTTCCAATTGAAGGTTGGGCACCCACTACTAGTTGATGCTCATGATTCGTCTGCGTTTTATGAGCTAGAAAAAGTATAGTTATTGATAGAAGGTTTCATCACGTTTAACCTTACTTCAAGACAAGTGCTTTCAATCATTATTGGTTTTATAATGGTAATAGTTTGATCGATCATTGAGAATTCAACACATTTCTTTGTTTTGCGTTCACCAAAAAGATTAATTTGGGACAAAATTCAAACTTCCAAATAATTGTCA